GCAAGAGATTAAGATAGAGAGAAAGACCTTAAAAATATCATAATTTTCGGTATTCACTACAGTATCAAAACTTTTCGAGCGATCACTTGAGTTGCACATTGATGGAAAAACAATCACTTTAAGTGCCTTCAGCAACAGATTTCTCCAGCAAGCCAGTCAACTAATTTATCATAAATTGATGTCACGTCGATTTTCAGGCAATCACCGATGACACTTAAGTAATCGTTTTTTTTATCAAAGCAGCACTCAAATAATCATTTGAAAATTTTTGACAATGAAGTGCTTGTCGTACGAAAATTATGATACTTTTTGTGTCCTTTCCCCAATTAAGGGGAAACGTACCAAAAAAGTCCTATTCTTATTGCATTTATACCAATTGAATCATAAACATTTTAATTGCACAAATTTAATCATAAACCTTTTGCATTTGTGCCAATTGAGTCAATTAGGTCAATTTTGGCCGAAAATCGCTGATGTGGACGTCGAACGTCCTACGTGGCACGACTGGTGCTGCCGTGGACAAATTTTATAATTTTTAAATATTTTTTTTTGATTTTTGATTTTTGATTTCTCTTGTTTTTCATTGTGGCTAGCGAGCGTTGGTGAGGGTTGCGGCCCTCACCCAGGCCATCGCTGGTCATGGGTGAGGGTGGCCCACGCTTGACTAGGAGGGTCGAGCCCTCATTGGGCGAGGGGAGCCCTCGCCAAATCTAGCGAGGGATCAACCCTCATGGTTGGGCGAGGGCCGCCCTCTCCCGCAGCCAGGGACCCTCACAGGCCCTCGCCCATTGGCACAATGAAAAAAAAGAAAATAAAAAATTATAAAATTTGTCCACGTCAGCACTGGTCGTGCCACGTAGGACGGCTGGCGTCCATGTCAATGATTTCCAGCCAAAATTAGCCAGATGAACTCAATTGGTATCAATGTGAAAATGTTTAGAATTAAATTAGTCAAATCGAAAGATTTATGACTGAATTGGTACCAATACAATATGTTATGACTTTTTTGGTACTTCCCTCCCTCCCCTCCCCCCCCCCCAAACACAAAATTAACTATCGTCTTAAGCTTGCTGGGATGTTGTTATTTAATATGTACGAGGAAATCACAAGTTGAATTAGATCATCGTGATTGAGTGTTCATCTCTAACACTACTTATTTAGCATGGTGGTGGTGGTGCACTTTTCGGCGTATGAACAGTTACAATTTCGGCTAAAGATTCAAACGTGAGACTTATGTCTTTAACCACAAAGTTAAGGAAAGCTTACGGAAAGTCCGGTCACACCACATACTGTTCCAAAAAAGGAAAAATCAGAAAAGAAAGTTAGGCTCATTTGTTCCTCTTTGCATATACCATGTCTTATGACACGCAAGCCGAGCCTCCAAAAGAAAAAATCTGAATAAACACATAAGAGGTGATCATTTAGGGTAAATATTATCTAAATAACGTCATAGGATCTCACTCATCTGAAACGAGACTTGAGGTGTCACGGGATAAGTGTTGAATTTCTACATTTACCCTGCAAGGGGAACACTATCACGGTCATACCCCAGAGCGGCCATTCCAATTAAGCCGCTTGATTCCATCTCCCCATTTGCCACTCTTTGGCTTGTCCCCCATGTCTATGACCAAAACACTCCTTTAACCTAAGATGTGACTGATGTCTGGCCTCTTTAATTGCAGATGGTGAAACACAGCACCTGACATCTCCATCTTCACAGCTGGCCAAGCCGAGCTTATCTTGGAACTGTCCATACATTTGGGTCTGTTGATGATTGGAGTCACCCACTGAATATTCTTCAGTTTGTATTGACCGAGTCATGGCTACAATACAAGAAGACCAAGGCTTGCAGCTAGGTCTTCGTCAGCATGGGTCCAAGTCTAAGGACCACAATCAATGTCAATACACACCGTTTTTTTTTATTGATGACATATTGAGCATTGGTAAATCTGAAAAGATATATCACATCCGATTTTTAACCGAAAAATCAGGTGCTTTTTTTTTTCTATTCAAATGAAAGATAAACAAGTAAAAAAAAAAAACACTTAATAGATGAAAGAGAGGTAAATAAAGAGAGGAAGAGCCAATTCAATTCGACCCTAAAACTCACCCATGAGTAGACCTGTTAAATGGGCCCAAAACCCATTTACGGACCCATGTTTATTTAAATGGGTCGTTAATGGTCACTCCTTATTTCCCAGATCATCCGTAATGGGTTTTAAAGATAAGTAGGCCTAAATATATGAGTCATAAATAGGTATAATTTGAACCCATTTACAATTCATTTAACAACCCATTTTCTTTTCGTTAATGGGTCACTTCTCTATTAGGCCCACACACACTCTCTTCATTTTTATTAAAATATTTTTTAAAAAAATCGAAATTATAATTATTTATTTTTTATCTTTTTTTTTATTTTTATTTTTTCTTTATTTTCGGCCGATGGCCGGCCACGGTGACGGCCGGCAATCGGCCACAGGGGAGAATGACCTTGGCGGAGGCCAGTGACGCTCGAGCTCGCCGACGGCCTCGCGGGCCTTGGGCAACTTGCCCGATTCCAGGGAGCCAAGCCTTGCCAGCGTCGGGTGAGGCTCCAACTCGCTAGATCCGGCGAGGTCGAGCTTGAGGCCTCGCCGATCTGGCAAAGCTCCAGCTCGCTGGCCTCGGGCGAGCTTGACCTTGCCTGAGGCTGGCGAGGCTTGGCTCGCCTGAGGTCGGTGAGCTCGAGCTTCGCCGGCCTCCGGCGACCTTGTCCTCGCCAGTGGCCGGATGTCGCTGTGGTTGGCCACCGACCAAAAATAAAGGAAAAAGAAAAAGAAAAAGAATTAAAAATTTGATTTTTTAAAAATAAAAATTATTAAAATGAATGCACGAAGTAAAATTATACCAAACGTTGGAAAATATTTTCTAGTTCATTTTCAGGTTTCAGCCAAATACCGAAATTTTTTTTTATTTTCTTAGATGATGACTTCATGGAAAATATTTTCTAGAAATGTTGCATTTTTCGCGAAATAAACAAAACCTCAATTTTTAAAAAAAATTATAAAAATTGTATGAAAATGTTTTAGTAGTATAATTTTTAAAAAAAGTCATAAGTAACAAGTTTTCCTAGATTTGGTTAAATATAGTAGTGCTTTAGTAATATGGGTCGGGTCGGATACATTACAAATAAAATGGGTCATAAATGGGTTAATGGATCAATTTGGATCGGACCATTTATGTCCCGACCCGACCCCGACCCGACCCACCGGTTTAACATGTCTACCCACGAGGCGCAAGCTCGCACGGCCCATTTTGGTCCAAATTCGTTCTCATCAGCTTATTAAATAAGCCCAAACCCATCTACACAAGCTGGCCCACCAGAAAACCCAAAGAAAGAATAAAGAAATAAAAAAAAAAAAAAAAACCCATTTTTGCTTCAGCCCGTGGACGACGCGGAACTCATCCCTCTCCCTTATCTCTCTCGTTTTTCCCTTGTACGAAGGTGAGAGCGAAGGCAACGAGCGCGACGGTGAGAAACAGACCGGTGACCGAAGCGAATCTCAAAGGTTCTAGAAGATACGCTTCGCCGGAGGTTGTTGTAACGGATTCTCGGTAACTGTATGGTACGGCACGGCACGTCACTGAATACTGATATAGCAGATAACAGAATGAGTTTTGAGGTCATTCCAGAACTTCCTTTCTGGTTCATCATTTTCAGTCGGCCCGGAAACAACAGTTCGTTTTTCGCCGGCCGGAAGCTACTGCCCTTCGCCTCTGAACGGAGGAAACATTCGCGAGAACTGTTCGTCGTCGTTGGATGGAAGTAGGAACGGCGATTTTCTTTGCAGTATCATTGATTTCCGCCGGTATCGATTCCGGTGATTTCAGCTCGCTTCTTGAAGCAGGTAAGCCTCCTCCTTCTTTGCTCTGTTTTCCCCTGTTTACCGAGGTTGAGAATGCCGGGATCAATCGACGAAAATTTGAGTAAATCGTGTAAAACCGGGACTGATCCGTGAGGAAAAATGATGATTTAGAGCCCTGTATGTCACAGTCATGAATTCATTATTCGATGATTTAAGTTTCTCGTATTAAGTAGATTTAATTTAATATTTAGAGAGTTCTTTCTCTCTTGTATTGGGAAACACGCAACGCGTGCGCACATTTACTAGATTGCACATTTTGTTCTTCCAGTGCAAAACAGCAGCTTCCTTTCCGCAATATCATCTCTCACTAATGAGTTCATAGGGGGCTATGGTAGATACAAAACCTGGAAAATCACATCGTCCACAATTTTACAGACCCAAAGGAAGGTTTTGGAGCACATTATAAGCACCGTCTCGTGGGACATTTTCACGGACATGTTGCCAAAATCATAAGCAGCGAGCGTGAAGGGTGAAGCAGAACAGGATTCATTGGATCATCAGGCACCAACAGCATGCGGGTTCATGTTCGGCCTCTCGTTCGCAGTCACGGCCTCGCACGACGTTGCTGCCTTGACTAGTTTCCAAGCAGATGCAGGAGCTGAACCGCCCTTGTAGCCTCTGATCCATGATGCTCTCTCTCTATATCCTCTTGTTCGATGAGAGGCGACACCGATTGGATGACGTGAGTGCTGCTCTTCGGGCTTCTCATTATGGCTCAGGTGGCTAGTAATTAGGTGGTTGTGGTTGGCAAAGATTGTCAAAAGATGACTTTGGTTAATAACACAGGTGGTGTGCCAATGAAAGAAATTCATTTTTCCTCTGCTTCATTATACAGAGGTTCACATGGATAACTGAGCAAGGGTAGCTATCAACAAGTACAGTTTGTAACCTTGTAAAGAGGGGCCAAAGTGTGAATTGAACTCAACATTCACTCATTTATTCACTAAGCTAGAAAAGCAACGACCCCAATATACAACACTCACAATTTAAAGTTACAAGCGCAGACATTGTACAAAAGTTTTCGAATCTGTCGATCCGATAATCAACAACTTATACAAGGAAGATGGACATGATAACCTTATAGACGAAGCATGGTTAACGAGCACTTGGAGCAATATCACCGTCAATTATGGTCATCTCAAAAGGCTCCCTCTTCCTCTTACTATATCCCATTCTTTGGCTTCTTCCTGAATCGATCTCTGCCGTCAAGCATTCTTTTAGTTCCCACAGAACACGGTTTATGTCTGGTCTTTGGACCGCTGTCGTCGGCACACACGACATGGCTATTTCCACCGCTTTCCATGCAGAATTGATGCTGAATTGGCCATTTAACCTCGGGTCAACAATGCTTTGGATGTCCCTTCTTTCTATGAGTGGAGTCACCCAGTGAACTATGTGCGTGCTGCCCTCTGGACTTCTTATAATGGCGGGGAGGCCAGTGATTAACTCGAATAAAACTACGCCGAAGCTGTACACGTCGCTCTTCCTGCTCAAGTTTCCAGATGTATGAAACCTGAGGATTCAAAAGGAATTGTTGCTTTGATTAGTACAATAATAGCCGAAACTGCCTTTCAAAAACGTACCTACATACGTGTATCCAACATAAACATGTACAGATAAAATGCATGGGCCTCTCGCGCTGGTCTAAATCAGCACAGTTATCCTCCTTCCCAAGTGGAATAGTCTTAGTATTCAGAGTTGTTGGTTCGAGTCGCTTACTCGGGATCGAGATAACCAGGCGTTCCCGATGGGCGAGTTGTAATATGAGAATCATGCTCTGTTACAAATGCCTTCGATAATCCAAAATCGGCAATCTTCGCTTGCATGCTTTCGTTTAGTAAAATATTGGGCGTCTTTAAATCTCTATGGACAATGGGAGGTTTGCAGCCATTATGCAGGTACTCCAACCCTGCACCACCAACAAAAAAGAAAAAATTAATGAAATGTATTGTGTTGCTCAACTTGTGGATATGTGAACAAAGATTTCATCAATCTACTTTATGTACCTTGAGCTGCATCGATTGCGATTTGTAGTCTCTGGCTCCAACTCAAAACATTCGGGTTTTTTGCTGCTTTAAAGTAGAGGATTAAGGAGTATTCCAATCATGAAAGATGTAAAATCCTGTTCACCATCTTATTCATTCGTTGAGAAAGTTAATTTCATTTCCGTTGTGCTATTAATGACTATGTTACTTGACCGATTAATCCAAAAGCCTGAACTATCAAAGAACAGAGTTGAGATAAAATATAACTCGACACATGTCGTGCTGTCATATGGTGAGAGTCTAAGTGATGCTTTATCTGGTTAGAATTTGGAGAAGGAAATATCAGACAAACCTGACAAATGTTGTTGAACATTTCCATTGGACAAGAATTCATAAATCAGCGCCATGTTTTCAAATTCTTCGCAATGTCCGATAAGTGAAACCAGATTTCTATGGTGAACGACCATCAGGAGTTGCGCCTGTACATCCAGGTATCAGAGCTTGCCATGAGTAGAACACTCAAAAAATCGAAAACATGACATATTGATTCTAGTTGCACTGGTGTTTCGAACCTCTGTGTGAAACTCCTTGTAGCCTTGCTTTGATGATTGAGATAACATTTTTACTGCAACTTCAGTGCCATCGTCAAGTTTGCCGAAGTAAACTTTCCCAAATCCTCCCTCTCCAATTACTGTTGTAAAGTTATCAGTAATTTTTGTAACCTCAGTGAATGTAAAATGTCGATTTTTTGACAACCTTAATGTCCTAGTAGATCCTCTGTTAGAGTTGGTAGTCGTAGCAATAGTAGTAACATCTGTAGAAATGAAAAGGAAATTATATAACCTTAAAATCTCTGTTCTCTCTCAAAATCTCTGAAAATATCTCTCTCTCTCTCTCTCTGCTCTGTTTTCTGACCGATCACTTTCATCTCTCTCTTCTCCGGCTTATATGGTGGTCGCCGGTCGCTGATCCTGCTCCACTGAATGCTCTGCGCCGGCCTCTGCTCCTACCAAGTCTTTCGTGGCCAGCTTTGCGCAGTGGAGCGGATAATCCGCGATGTCCTAGGCGATGGTCGCTGCAGGGGAAGACAGAGGAAGGAGGAGAAAGGGAGAGAGGCCGGCCGTGGGGGAAAGGGAGGAGCGGGCTGGGCTGGGCCCAGCTCGCGCATGGAAAAAAAAGAAAAGAAAAGGAGCGGGCTGGGCCCGCGGGGGGGGGGGGGGGGGCGTGGGGGAAGGAAAGGGCCGGGTCGACCCAGTCCCTACCCAGCCGGACCTGATTTTTTTTTTTTAAATTAGTTAAGAAAATATGCTTGAATTAGCCCTATTAATGCAAATGTGCCTAATATCTATATGCCATGTAATTAGAACTATAATATTTTTTTTGGTTTAAGAATTATGGACATTAAACCCTAAATTTTGTGTAATTAATTTTGGGTAATTAAAAATAGGTGTCAACAATGTTCTAGCCTCGGCTTGAAATTCCTTGTGACCTTGCCGTGAGGACTGGCCGAGCAATTTCACCGCAACTTTAGAGCCATCATCAAGAGTTCCAAGATAGACTTTCCCAAATCCTCCTTCTCCAATCACCACTTTAAAATTCTCAGTGATGCGCAAGACTTCGTTGTATTTAAATGGTTTCTTTATCATTTCGAGCGTACCCTCATTTGGCTCTCTTGCGTCAACAAAAAGAAAAAATGAAGACTAATTGATTACCATAAGCGATCATTGGGTAGAGATTATACTTGAGAAAAAAGAAATGAAAATCACCTCCTCGTCTTTTCCTTGTGGTTCTCCAAATGATGATGACGAGTGAGCACACGAAGATTAGGGCAAAAATGGATGAACTAACAATGACCGGCACAATCCATTTCTTCTTGTTCTCGGACACATATACTTGAGGCAAATGTGGATTTCCATCTACACTGCAATATTGAACAAATTTTCCATAAAAAGATTAAGATAACCGGGAAGAAATCTCGACTTTTTTGGGTATTGTTATTATTATTTACTTAGGCCTTAAAATTGGATAATAATTAAAATTTCAATTGTCAGTTCGAAATTGACTTCAAGTTGTGGGTCATGTACCTCAACTTCAATGTTCCATCTGCCATCTTCTTTATGAGGGCATGAGGAATCACACCGCTAAGATTGTTGTTGCTTAAGTTTCTGCAAATGGAGAGAACAAAACGCATATATATATACGCTCTCATTTTGTCAATAATAATGACCTGTTCATGTTTACTGAGTTCTTACACAACCAAACAAGAAGCAACATACTATACCGAGTCTCGGTAACTCACAGGGTTTGTAGACTTTGCATTTGGGCGAAAGATGTCGGTATCGGACCGCTCAAACCATTGTATGATAAATCCCTAAATAAAAGAGATGGCATTTTGTGTTAGTAGATGAGTGACGGGGCGATTAGATCTGGCTAAATATTTTGCACATAGAAATAGTGTTTGTCGAATCGTCCCTCATGAGAGACTATATGTATATATGAGTGTATGCAAATAGATATCTATTCACTGAAGTTTTATTATGTCCACTGTGTAGAATTTTCGTACATATCAATAAATGTTCTTTTTCTTCTGTACGTGCATATGTACACTTTTGTGTGTTCTTGAAAGTGTGTCTAGCTTGAATACTACAGCTGATGAAAGATCAAAATCCTAATTTGCATGTATTGGGAGATATATTATGAAGGAGATATTCAAACTTACAAGGTGACCAAAGCAGTGAGATTGGAGAAGGAATCGGATACACCCCCTTTCAACATGCTGGAGCTCAAATTCCTGTACAAATGCCACTTTTATTACCAAAAGTTGGTATATTTTTGCTTTTGCTAGAAACCAAAATTTTGTTATTAATTAAAAGAAATCTCAATCAATACTGAAACAAAAATTGACCAATTGTATCAAGATTCAATTTTGGTCGAACGAAATGACAAGAATTGCTTAAAAAATTGCACGTACAATGAGATGATCCTTGGAGGACTACCGTAAGTGCAATTCAATCCTTTCCACAAATAATCTGGTGGAGCGCATGGATCGCCCTGCCAGCTATCTCGTACTATTGCATATGATATCTTTATGTTGACCATCGCGTTGACTGTGGTTTTTCCAATCGAGACGAAATGATTAACCAATAGGCAAAGCACACCGATGGAAAAATGTTTGAGTTGTACGAAAACCGGTACAAGGCATGCTTAAAATTACCGTCATTGAGTGCCGTTTGAGAGATTGGTAGATTAATGATGTTAAAAATCTCCTGGGCGTTCATGATTGGAGGGAGGGTGGACTGGGACGTGTTGTAGAAATCATAGTTGATCCTGGTCCGACCTGTGATGGGTAACGAAACAACGGTTGCCGGGGTCGAGTACCGAGGCCTGAGCGTGGGGGGGGTCGACCCGTCTTCCATGTACACGGTGAACTCCCTCACTTGGCCTGGTTGGAGAACTTGGATCTCGGCAAAGTGCAAGACGATGTACCAGGCTTCGTTGGGATTGGACGGCCAGGAAGTCTTTCTTGTGTTCACTTGTTGTGCGGACATCAGCACTTCGGCTGGAACATCATAAGCATCGTTGCCGCTCGTTAGGTCAAAGACCGTGGTGTTGGTAATTGATGTCATACCGTCATACTCTTTGGCAGCCCAAATGCGATCATAGTCATCTTGTGGGTGCCTATATGAAAGACAAAGTGATCAACTGGTTAGTGAGAAGGTGACTCAATGTATAAATTCACTCTACTAGTTTTCTTTTTGGAGACTCGACACGTGGGATTCAAGTCGATTCATTATAGAATATAGATAAAGATAACGAAGTTTCCAACATTGTTGTCGGAATAAGATAACAAATCATCACCTATATGTGACGGATGATCCGACGTTCTCTCGCCATTTGATCACTAGAGCACCCGAATCAATATGGTAAGTCATGCTGTCCAAGAGTCGCAACTCCAGAGCCGAAATGAAAGGTGTTCCTGTACCCTTATTCAATAGGCACACTTGTATGTATTCTCTTGGGGCAACATAAATGATTTCGCTCCACACGTAGTTCGGCGATTTCACCTCGTGCCAATAGTTTGTGTCCACGTGCAAATCGAACTCCGGGGCCATTCCTTTATTATCATAATACCCATATAAAAAGGTTGCCCTAATCAAATACTTTTTGTTCATGCCTTGCCGTGGTCGAAGAGTATAGCAATTCCTAGTACCATTAGGAAAGCTTCTCAAGTTCTTCAATTGTTGCATGTTGTTGTAGATGAAATTACTAGGGACTTGCATGACCTGTCCGGAGTCTACAAATCCGGCATCAGTCTTGTAGGATATGTTGAGAAGATTATCAATGTAATCATTCGGTGCGCCACAGTCGATACTTATGAAATCTGTTATTAGAAATAACAAAAAAAGAAGAAGAAATAATTGAGGAGTTTTTCTCGAGAACAATGTTCTTTGAAATTGATTTTCTTTATCGGTAAACCTCTCGAGGGATTTCGCAATACGTGTGAAACTTCATAAAGCGGTGAATTACTCTTTTTATGCTAGGTGGGGGGCTATAAGTTAAATAAGAAGCAAGAAGGCTGCTTTACATGTGACATGCTTGATTTATTTATCAAATAATTAATTGAATTTTTCAAAGTAAGAAGCCTATAATATTAGCTTTTGTTTAGTTTGATGGCCTTATCTTAAATGGTTAATTGACAAACTCAGCTAAAACATTGGAGAGAAAAAATCGATGTTATCTCAAATCACGTGTCAAAAGGAAAACCGAAGTGATATGTTCTGCGCATATTAGATAAGATCATATGGCTTATTGGAAAAACTGATGATATAAACGTAAGCTGTTCTTTTTATAGATATCAAGGTATCATACAAGGACACAATTGCTTCCTGCGCAAGATTTGGTTGCAAGCAAGCCATTCTAGTTTATATGAAATGAGAGAGAGAGAGAGAGAGAGAGAGAGAGAGAGAGAGAGAGAGAGAGAGAGAGAGAGAGAGAGAGAGAGAGAGAGAGAGAGAGAGAGAGAGAGAGAGAGAGAGAGAGAGAGAACCAGGATTGTCTTGTCCTTGAACAAGAAGTACGAGAGCTAGACAAAGAAATGACACACATCGAGTCTTCATTGTTCTTTCACAAGGATGAACTTGCCAGCTTTGTCTTCCTCTGAGAGAGAGAGATTTGTAAGTGCATTGTCACATGAAGCATAGCTCAGAGCCATTAATATAGAGCGTCGACAAAGGAGACTCGGTTCGCTATCTTGCAAATCCATTGACTCACACACACCCTTGACCTTGTAATGATTATGTCACATTGCTTGGGTATCCTTGCACATGCTGATAGGAGCACGAATGTTTCTCAGCTTATTTTATACGGCAACCAAAAGATTGCCAATATCCATAAATATCTCAAGCAAATAAAGCTAAATCACGGTTTTTGAGAGAATTAGGAGATTTCGACAAAAAAGAAGAAGAGAAATTGGGAGAATGTGAGGACGAAACATGGAAAGGACATTTCGGACGAAACATGAAAATCATATCTGACCACATTAAACCAATGACAATTTTGTCCGGATCAATTGGTGAAATAAATATATATAATGAGATCTGTTTGAATTTTACGGTAATAAAAATTTATCTTATGTTGATCGATCAAATTCATTAACAATAAATTTGATATTTAACATAAATTTATGTTGATCAGACATCTAATTAACGCAGTCAGAAGTGATTTTCAATGAAAAAAGCTATGTCGTTATAAACGAAGAGCTATGTCGTTTTTGAGAGAGAGAGAGAGAGGGAGAGAGAGACCTGGATTTTGTTGGGCTTGAACCACAAGGACAAATCCTAAAGCTGCAAGCAAAGAAAACGAGAAAGCTGTAGTTGATCTTCCCATTGTGATCGAGCAGTGGAGATGGTCGAACAGAGAAGTGCGAGGAAGAGATGCCTGCTCGCAGTATATTAATATCACGAGCTCTCCATACAACCAACCGACCCCATCTTAGTGGCTATGGCCCAGTATATTTCATTGCTACCGAGTATTTTGTTTCCTCGTTTTCCTTTTGTGCATTTTATATTCATATAAGAAAAACAGTTTCCACCAATGACTGGTAATTAAGATTTTGATATATCTGGAGAACATGATCATAAATCTCATAAATTTGAATCCAACTCAACATAAATCCTAACGTGATTATATCGATTTTGGAAGGCATATACAGGATTGACTTGTATTCGGACGATAATTTTATTGGAAATCAGTCTCTTCTTCTATAGGAAATACTAAGAGGATACGCGACCCCATCTTCAGTTCACAGTTGACTGAGTCATGGCTACAGTACAACGAGACCAAGACTTGCGGCTGGTTCTTCGTCCGCATATGTGTCCAAGTCTAAGGACCACGATCAATGTCAATAGACCGCTTTTAATTGATGACATATGGACCATTGGTAAATTCGAAAATGATACGCACTAATTTCTATTACACATATTATTATTACAATATATAAATTTAGAGTTTTTAGTGGTATTAATAATTTTTTAATGAAATTTTAATTCCGTACGGCTTTCTTAACAAAAATTAGTTAGGGAGGTGGCACAAGACCTCGAGGAGAGCAATGACATGCTAGACCCGAATTGGAAGGTGGGCAGTAATGAAGGCGTGGGTCGATTCCTGGAGGTGATGATCACGAACAAATGTTTCATGCTTGAGATCTTGAGGACCATGACGCAGTCGATGGACAATATACGCACCCAATGACCTCATCGTCAGCAACCATGGGAAGCTTTACATAGTACCTCTCCGCTTGGTCTATTTCAAGAATCACGTTGAATTAGAACACCAATCACTCAATTCTTAATTTTTCTGTGCAAAAACCAAGGACAGAGCCAGCATAAATTGCAATTTCTTAGGTTTTTTTTAGCATTTATAGAGACCTACGAGATTATCCTCACTTGGAGGAAGATTTTTCACCCAAATAACACTTGCCCTCATCCCCCCTCTCTACGTCATCTTCCTCACCCAATCCAAAGTCTCGCAACTCCTCTTCTTCGGTGACCTCAACTCTGCTTCTACTAGGCTCTCGCTCACTATTCTGCAGGTAATCAGCTGCAATTTTAATAGTAATTTCAAGGGATTAGGGCTAGGGATTGCTTCTTCGCCCTAATTTAACCCCAACTTGTCAGTTTTGGGCAAGAACTAGGGCCAACGAGTTATTTTTTGCTGACTGGATTTCTCCGGCAAGCCACGTCAGCGGATATATAATAAATTAACGTTATGTCAGATTTTCCGGTAAAAAAAATCGCTGATGACACTTATGTAATCATTTTTTTTTATTTTATTAAAATGGCATTTAAGTGATCGTTCGAAAAGTTTTGACAATGAAATGCATATCGTACGAAAGTTATAGCACTTCTCGTGTTCTTTCCCTGATGAAGGTATAACAGAGAGTAGTGAAGGGATACGTCACCACACAATCAAACATGAAATTATCTATCATCTTTAGCTTGCCGGGATGCTGTTATTTAACATGTAGAAGGAAATCACAAGTTGAATTAGATCATCGTGATTGGGTGTTCACCTCTAACACTACTTATTTAGCATGGCGGCCGCGGTACACTTATCAACATATGAACAGTTACAACTTTAGCTAAAGATTCAAGCATGAGACTTATGTCTTCAATTAAAAAGTTTAGGAGGACGCAGAAGTTCTAATAAATGAAAGCTTATGGAAGGTCTGGTCACCCTACATACTGTTCCAAAAAAGGGTAAAAGAAACTTAGAACTTCCATAAGCATGGAGTTGGCCATTTCGTTCCAAAAAAGGGTAAAACCCGATTATGCAGCTTGAAATCAAGGGTACCATGGCATGGAGTTGGCGTTTTATCCTTCAATTACGACCGGCTTTAGCTTCAGCCATATCTAAGCCAATATATTGTTGCCAAGAGATATACGATGAAACCAGGAGGGCGGGACCAACTGTGGAATGGTGCCAGTTGATCTGGAAAGGCGCGCGGTATCAGCAAGCACAACTTTATCGGCTGGCTAGCATGCAGGGACATACTACCCACAGCAGAGATCGTATCACGTTGGAAGCCTGAAATAGATAGCCATTGCAATTTTTGTCCATTAGATATGGAAAGTAGAGATCATCTATTTTTCTAGTGCACCTGGACTAAAAGCATTTGGCGTACTATCCTTGCACAATACGGGATCCTGCGGTATATAGGAGGATGGAACGAAGAACTCGAATGGATGATAAGTGCTACCAAAGGCAAGGATCTGGCAGCTACACTTCTCAAGGTATCTTTCCTAGCGACTATTTATTGCATCTGGATGGAGCGTAATCATAGATGTTTCCAACATAAGTCACATGATGCCCCCATCATGTCAGAGGGCGAGCTTCGCACTACAAAACTTGTAGACCTTCTAGGGCAATTGTAATATTGGCTAATATATGGAGTCTCCCACACTCCATTTTTTCGTGATCATAGTCCTCTTTGTAATGCTGGGGTATGCCCCTAAGCTTTTATACGTCAACTTATGAATGGTACTTACATTTCACACCAAAAAAAATCTTAGGCTTATTTGTACCTCTTAGCATATACCATGTCTTAATAGCACGTAAGCCAAGCTTCCAAAAGAAATAATCTGCGTAAACACGTAAGGCAGTGATCATTTGGGGCAAATATTACCTAAAACATCACAGGATCTCACCCATCTAATATGAGACTTGAGGTGTCACAGGGTAAGTGTTCAATTTCCACATATACCTTGCAAGGGGAACAGTATCACGGTCAAATCCCAGAGCGGCCATTTCAGTGAAGCCGCTTACTTCCATCTCACCATTTTCCACTCTTTGGCTTGCCATGTTCATGGCCAAATACTCCTGTTGAGCTAATATGTGACTTATGTCTGGCCTCTTAATTGCAGATGGTGAAGCCCATGACTTATGTGTCCTAGACTTGCAGCTAGGTCTTCGTCAGCATGTGTCCAAGTCTAAGGACCACGATCAATGTTAATACACATCTTTTTTGATTGATGACATATTGACCATTGGTAAATCTGAAACAATATATCATGTTATGCGCTAATTTATTCTTTGCCATGTCATTATTACCATGAAATCATCTTTTTTTTTTTTTAGCTGGAGGCGTCCGACATGGAAAACCAGTAAGGTAAATTATAATAAGGAAGAGTAATTAATTGGAGGATGAGTTTTAACTCACGTTTTCAGCATTTGGCATGGCCAGAAATAATTGATTAACAACAATGTTTTCAGGGTAGACAAGAAGTTCTAGCTCCGAAATTTCTTTGCTACCTCTATATCATTTGCAACGACCACCGAACAGACCATCAATATCAACGAACCTTACCATGGTTCTAGCCGACCGCCTTCGCTTGCCATGCGTCATTACCGAAGGTTAATTTTGTTATCTGTTCTAGTCAATATTATTCACAGGAAAAAAAAAAACTTTGCAATCTAATTGGTTATGCATGGGTAACCCGAGAAACGATAAGGCATTCGTTGCTTTCAATGAAAATGATATTTCAGAAGAATTCTATTAGAAACATTAAAATCAGTGAATAAGGCTGCAAATTCAAATATAGTTAATGTGTTCTGGAAATAGCTATGTTTCTGGAAGGTCCAGTCACCCCTCGTGTTATTAAAAAAGGAAAAAAGAAGAAGGCTAGGCTTATTTGTCCCTCTCAGAATATGCCATGTCTTAACAACCGGTTCAATGTGGATAGAGCCTCCAGTTCAATGTGAACATACACTTATCAACATATGAACAGTTACAACTTTAGCTAAAGATTCAAGCACGAGACTTATGTCTTCAATTACAAAGTTTAGGAGGACGCAGAAGTTCTAATAAATGAAAGCTTATGGAAGGTCTGGTCACCCTACATACTGTTCCAAAAAAGGGTAAAAGAAACTTAGGCTTATTTGTACCTCTTAGCATATACCATGTCTTGCAGCACGTAAGCCAAGCTTCCAAAAGAAATAATCTGCGTAAACACGTAAGGCGGTGATCATTTGGAGCAAATATTACCTAAAACATCACAGGATCTCACCCAACTAATATGAGGCTTGAGGAGTCACAGGGTAAGTGTTCAATTTCCACATA